AATATTTATATATTTGTTTAATAATTTTTTAATTTATATTTAAATATTATATAATAATTTATATTACTTTTAATAGGATTATGGGTAATATATGGATTACCATCAAATAATACAGTAGTCATAAAAATGGATGCAACTAACATGAATATTCAACATGCATGGAATATTAGTATAGATAATCATAAATTTGGAGAAATGTTTATTGCTGGAGGAGTGCTTTATGCTGTCCATAGTGTTACAGAAGAAACAATGAAAATAAGGTAAAACTTTAAAAAAAAAGAAATAATTAAAAATATTAAAATTTAAAAAATGAAAAAAATATATTTTGTAATGTATTTTATATAATTATATAATGATATATATTTATAGGTTGGCTTTTGATCTATATAAAAATATTACAATACCTGTTCATTTATCATTCACAAATCCTTATCATAAAACTACAGCAGTCAGTTATAACTATAAGACAAAAGTAAATATTTTAAAATTTAAGAAATGAAATAAATTACATATGAACTTTAGAATTTACAATTTTTTATTTATTTTTAGGAACTTTATACTTGGAATAAAGGAAATCAATTAGCCTATCCTATAAAATATCAGGGTTTCACAAATGCTACAATAAAAGAAGATATGAGGGGTACAGAAATTGGAATTTAAAATTAATATTAAAATGACATTGAAAAATAATGAAATGTATGTTTTATCCTTTAATTTTTTATTAATGTACTAATATAAAAAAGACAATAAAAATGCAATTGTTCTTTCATTCTGTATTGTGCTTAAAATCCTTTTTTTAATTTTTTTTTTTCATTTTAAAAGATTATAAAAAATATAAAAATCATAATTGTATTAAATTATTGTATGATAAATTATTATATTGAATTTTTTAATTATTTTTTTTCAAGTTGTCAAATTTTAAAAATCTAAAGATTGTAAATAAATGTTTTAAACTGTTTCATTAATATTTTAATAAATATAAGATCTTTAGAAAGTTTTTAAATTATTAAAATTTTTACAATTTTTCAATTATTGAAATAATTTTTTTGCTATAAGTTTAATTTCATAAACTTATTATGAAATATTTTTTTATAATTTTTATTTTTCGAATTTATAAATTATTTGTTCAATATAATTCAGTAAGGTGGCGCATAATGACATATTTAATTAAATAAAGAGTAAGAATGGAGATTAAGTGTGCATATGTATGTGAGTAAGAGAGTAAGAAAATGCTTTGACAAGTCTTTTCTTAGTTCGATCCTCGTAGTTTTTCTCCGATTAAAACGATATTTTACTTTCAAAATAAATTTTATTTTAAAGGAAATAAATGATATAATTCAATTTTAAAACAATAAAAACGAGAAAAGGAATTCATGTACAGAAAACTGAGAAGCGTTCTATCCGAAAAAATGGTAAGTACGATTGAGCAACTCAACAATTTAATCTATCGAAAGTACGGTGTTAATTTTAACCTAGCAAAGATTGAATTAAATATAAATGGCATTATAGTAAACTCTTCAAGCAGAATTTAAATATCTATAATGATATATTTAAAGATCTATTCGTTTCAACCTTTTTTTCAGAACTTTTTCCTGCACATTACATGGATGTCGATAACCTCATCTTCAACTTGTTTGAAGTAATCAAATTTTCTCATTTCTATTTCTATTTCTGTTTTTATTGTTTTTTTTCTTTTCTTTTTTAAATTATATATTTGAAAATTAAAAATAAATTTACAAATTCAATTATAAAAATATTAAATTAATGTGCTGGTATTTGATTTTCATTGAAAATTTATTACTTTTTTGATATATGTTAATCACTTCAACATCTTTTGTTATCTTTTAACGCTGTAATCAATTAGTTCAAATCATATTTTAAAATAATTTTAAAAAACAAAATAATTTGTTTTTTCATTTTATAATCAATAATTAATACATTATATTTTTTATTTGTATTTATTTTGCATATTAATCAAATAAATATTTTAATTAATATTAAACAAATTATTTTAGATATATGTATATAAATAATAAAACAAGCATATGAATCTTTTTAAGCATATCTATATTATAAATGAAAGAAATATTTAAGTAGTATATAAAATAATATATAAAATTAAGAAAAAAGTTTATATAAACTTTTTCTTATTTATCTTCTTTTTGACAATTTATTATTAGGAATTGTAATAAATTATAAATTATCAAATATATCAAATATAGAAATATATATATATATATATATATATGTAGAAATTAATTATATAATTATTTCAATTAATTATTTCATATTTGTATCATATTTTTTTAAATTTTATATTATTTTTAATTTTTTTTTTCAATTTTCTNAAATATATTATAATATTTATAATATTATTTATATTAAAATATATATATTATATATTAAAAAATTAAAAAAAATGATTAAAAATTCAATTTAAAATGCATAAAATCAATTTTTATAAAAATTATATATTTTATAAAATTTAAAATATTATTAAATATTTGATATATTATTATCATTTTTTCTTTAAACAATTTCATTTTTATTTTAAATAATTATTATAAATTGATAAAGCATAATACAATATACGTCAAAAATTATACTTTAAGTTTTAAGATAGACTTTATGAATTATTCATTAATATTATAATATCATCCAATAAAATATACAATTTGAATATAAAATAATCTCTTATAGGATAATATTTCTAATATACTTAATAGTATTACAGTCAAAATCACATATTATGCTATTAATACATTGTATTATTACAGTGCATATGATTACAATCAATACTGTGTGAAGTTTCAATTATATTACAAAATAAATAATTTCTTTAAATTATTGCATTTTTATTATTATTCCAATATTATGGGATGTTTGATAATAAACAAGTTCTATTTTTATATTTATTTTTTATTATGATGAAATTAATTTTTATTTGATGCAAAAATTAAATAAATATTTCATATTTTTAAATCATCTATAAAATATATTATGTATTATATATATATATGTATATTAAACATGGATATATTTAATTTTTTTTTACAGGTCGCAATGCCATGGAGAAATTTCCATTGAAAGGTACAACTTTATCGAACAATACAATTCCACAAAATCATCAACATACATTAACTACATACCAGTCAGTTGATACTAAGGTAAACTATGAAAAAAAAATTAAGAAAAAAAATAATAAGAAAATATAAATAATAATAATAAAAATTTGATTAATTATAGATTGAAAATTCAGATGATGTATACTTCGTAGAGGATGCACGATCTCGAAATCGAATTACTACAGGTGATACTAATCTAAGTAGTGACGACGACATGTTGGAAGTTAATAATGTAAATTCTCATCATGGGCAAAACACTGTTCTTTCAGAACATATTCGTATAGATGATGCTTCCTCTCACAGTGAGTAATGTAATTATAATGTTAGCTTTTTAATGTATAATTAATGTATACAAAAAACATAATTTTATTCTTTGTTGCATTTTATTATTTTATTATTTTAGTTTCAGTTGATTCCGATGACATTCCTGGTATTGGACAATATGATGACTTCCATACAATTGATTGGCAGCGAGATATCGCTCGAGATAGAATGCGTCATCGATATATTGTGAAGAAAAAACATGATTCCATTTGGGGTTTAATTAAAGGAGCCCATGATGCTTGGTCTGGATGGCTTTGTGTTTTATTAGTTGGTCTCTTTACAGGAGTTGCAGCAGGTATCATAGACATAGGGGCTTCCTGGATGACTGATTTAAAATTTGGCATATGTCCACAAGCATTTTGGTTAAACAAAGAACAATGTTGTTGGAGTTATAATGAAACAACTTTTGATGGTGGTAACTGTTCTCAGGTACATGATTTATTATTATTTTTTTTTTATTTTATAATGCTTAAATTCTTTATTTTATAATTTTTTACAGTGGTGGACATGGCCAGAAGTATTTAGTCAATCAAAAGATGGTGCAGGACCTTACATGATCTCGTATATGTTCTACATTGCTTGGGCTCTCTTGTTTGCTTCACTTTCTGCCTCATTAGTGAGAATGTTTGCACCATATGCTTGTGGTTCAGGAATACCTGAGGTATATATGGAAATAAAAAAAAAATAAAATATATAATGACTTTTAAATTATATTTAAAAATTTTTAGATAAAAACCATTCTAAGTGGATTTATTATTCGTGGATATTTAGGGAAATGGACATTAATAATTAAATCAGTAGGTTTGATTCTATCGGTCTCAGCAGGTTTAAATTTAGGCAAAGAAGGACCAATGGTTCATATAGCTTGTTGCATAGGAAATATATTTTCTTATCTTTTTCCCAAATATGGTAGAAATGAAGCAAAGAAAAGAGAAATTTTATCAGCAGCAGCTGCTGCAGGAGTTTCAGTTGCTTTTGGTGCTCCAATTGGAGGTGTTCTTTTTAGTCTTGAAGAGGTATGTAACAAAAAAAATTTAATATATAATTGAATGGAATTATATTTGTGATATTTTTAGGTGAGCTATTATTTTCCCTTAAAAACTTTATGGAGATCATTTTTTTGTGCCTTGATAGCCGCTTTTATTTTACGATCTATAAATCCATTTGGTAATGAGCATTCAGTACTCTTTTATGTTGAATATAATAAACCATGGATATTTTTTGAATTAATACCTTTTGTCATGCTCGGAATAATTGGTGTAAGTTTATCTTTTTGTAAATCTTTTCCTATAATTAAAATATTGTTAAATTATAATTTTTTTCTTTTTTTTTCTATCTTTTATAGGGCGTGATTGCTACTTTATTTATTAAAGCAAATTTATTTTGGTGTCGATATCGTAAAACTTCAAAATTGGGTCAATATCCAGTTACTGAAGTTTTAATAGTGACAGTTGCAACTGCAGTTATTGGATATCCAAATCCATATACTCGAATGAGTACAAGTCAACTCATTTATTTATTATTTAGACAATGTGGAGTATCAAATGCAGATATTTTGTGGTTTGTAAAAAAATTTGTTTTCTTATGTTAATTTTTAAAATTAATTTTAAAAAAATTTTAAAATATAATACTTTTTTTCTCTTTTATTTATATAAATTTCTTTTCTTTTTTTTTGTTCATATAGTGATTATAATAGAAATTTTACTGCTGTAAAATCAGCGATTGAAGTTGCAGCAGCTGGTCCTGGAGTTTATAAAGCTATATGGCTTCTCGTTTTAGCATTAATTCTAAAACTTGTTATGACAATATTTACATTCGGCATGAAAGTACCTTGTGGATTATTTATTCCATCACTTTGTTTGGGAGCAATAATGGGACGTATTGTTGGGATTGGAATGGAACAACTTGCATACAATTATCCACATATTTGGATATTTAGTGAAGCATGTTCAACTGGTGTTGATTGTATAACACCTGGATTATATGCAATGGTTGGTGCCGCAGCGGTTCTTGGCGGTGTTACTAGAATGACTGTTTCTCTTGTTGTAATAATGTTTGAATTAACTGGAGGCGTACGATATATTGTACCGTTAATGGCAGCTGCTATGGCAAGTAAATGGGTTGGTGATGCTCTTGGAAAACAAGGAATTTATGATGCTCATATTGGTTTGAATGGATATCCATTTCTTGATAGTAAAGACGAATTTCAACATACTACTTTAGCAGCTGATGTCATGCAACCAAAGTAATTGTATTATTATTATTATTAAAATATATTTTTGTAAAATATTTTTAATTTAACATTAGTTATAGTTTTTCTTCATAGTCATTAAGTTTAATTTTTTTTAGACGCAATGAAGCTCTGCATGTGCTTACTCAAGATTCAATGACAGTTGAAGATGTTGAAAATTTATTAAAAGAAACGGAACATAATGGTTTCCCTGTAATAGTTTCAAAGGAATCGCAATATCTTGTTGGTTTTGTATTACGAAGAGATTTGAATCTTGCAATAGCAAATGCTAAACGTATGATAGAGGAAATTACTGGACAATCACTGGTTTTATTTACGAATGGAAACAATATCCAAAATCATTCTCCTCCACCACTTAAATTAAAAAAAATTCTTGATATGGCTCCAATAACAATTACTGACCAAACACCTATGGAAACTGTTGTTGATATGTTCAGAAAATTGGGATTAAGACAAACACTTGTTACACATAATGGGTAATTAATTTTTATTGTTGTGCATATTATTTGTTATATGAGTAATATAAAATTATATTTATTTTTCACTTATTTATTTTTATAGTCGATTACTTGGAGTTATTACAAAGAAGGATGTATTGAGACATGTGAAACAACTTGACAACGAAGATCCTAATTCTGTATTATTTAATTAAAATTTATATAAAAAATATATATATGACAGATACATTGTTTTATAATGCATGGTATTAACCAAAAAAATTGGATACACTATGCCAATAGTATGGTTTTGATATTTTCATATAATTGTTAATATTTGTTTTAATTATTAGTAATTAAAAATAAATAGGTAAAATAATTTTAACTCACTGCACTTCGCGAGTTTTTATGTTTTATTATGGCATTTTTCAATTCAACTTCTATTCACAATGTTAAAAAAATTTTCTTTTACAATTAAAACACGGAATACTGCTCAATATTTTTTATAATTTTTTAGATTTTCATTTTAATTCATTATGTTTATAAATATATGTTATTTGATTATTATGCTATGTAATATGTTATGTATATTATATTTAAAAACGTTATATCATAAATGAAATGAATTTTTATAGTTAAATCGATAATGAAACCAAATTCTAATACATTTAGAAATAAATATGTTATATAGGTAGAATAGCGTATAGCGCAACAAATTTTATTGCTAGCAATTTAAAAATAATCTATATTTAAATCTATTAAGAATAATATCAATTTTATTTTTCTCGTAACTTTAATGTTTTAAATCTATTACATTTTTTGGAATATTTGCTATGCATATGTATGTACATATATTATGATTAATATGATTAATTTTGATTTTGTTTTGTATATTTTGGATTAGAAAGTAGCAAGAATTTATATGAAAGATAATTAAAAGAAAAAAGTTATTTTATTCAATATTTTTTATTTATGTTAAAAATATATTTTTGCTAATACAATGAGCGAATTATGAAATCTTTTCGTATACATCACAAGTTTTTTGTGATCATTCTCATCTTCTGTCGATTCTCAATATACATATGTATATATGCAAATATAGTACAATATGTACGCATTATATATACAGGTAACTCTTGCATAATACAGTATTTTTACAATGCAGTTTCGATATAACGTTTTTGAATTCACTTTTTATATATAATCGAAATTTCGCACAATACAATCAGAAATCTAAATCCCGCATTATACGAGAGTTATCTATATATATATATATATATAAAATGTATTTGTATATATATATATAAAAATGAATCTATGAATATGAATATGAATATTGAGATTACATAAATGTATCTTAATATGTATGAATGTTAAAATATAAATGTAAAAATAAATATTATTTAAATAATATTTATAGTAAAATCTTATAAGGAGTTATTAGTAATAAATTATTAATTTATTTAAATTAATTTCCTATTCTTTTTTAAATAATTGATATTTTATGAAAAAAATATAAAAGTATAAGTAAATATAATACTAGTTAGTAAATTAGGTATGAATTCATAAATGTAAAATATCAATTTAATATTTTCACAATATATTTTCCGAAGGATTATGTATTTATTTTTAAAAATATAATTATTTTTTAAATATGTTACATTTAAATAAAATTGATATTAATTAAATATTTCATGTGGTAAAAGCAATGCTAGAGGACAAATCAATAAGTATTTGAAAGACAGTTTGTAGTTATAGCTATATAGCCTGAGGAACTAGGACGTTTTATTCGAAATTTAAAGTCGATCAAAGAGAAAATTGCAGATGAATATCACATGTGTCATGTGGAAATGAAAGATTCGTCAAAAAAATTTTCAAACTAGCAAAGATATCTTAAATTGAAAAAATTATAATAATTGAAAAGAAAAAAAAAAAAATAAATAAAAATGAAAAAGAACGAACAACTGTTGACACATCAAAATAATTCCATAATTTTATAGAAAATTCGATACTTATGTAAAAATTAAACTTTTTCTAAATCATAGAATCATTATGATCTTTTATCGTCGAAATAGTTTGTTTCGTTTTAAAAAAAAAAGAAAAAAAAAAATACGATTAATCAAGAAAAAAGACGAAGGAATCATAATGTTTGCTGACCACAATATCACCTGCAGGGGTCAGTTGTAGCTAGAGTGGGGAATAGCGTGGAGGGTGGTAAAGAGTATTCGTGCAGGCTGTTGGTTCGCTAGTTTCGTGGTAGCGATAACCCCCGATGCGCGTGTGCACCTATGTATTTCAATGTGTTAGGTTTAGATAGATTCGCTTATACAAGGAAAGAGAGACCTCAAAGCCGTTTTCCTCGGTCGTTCAATACGCGCGCGCGCGAAACGAATCGACTTCGTCCATAGTATCGTCACAGTTCTCGTCGGAGACGTTCGTGATTTTGCACCCTTGTTCAAGTCACAATTTACCGAACTATATGACGAGGGTACACCACTGTTTCCTTTCTTATTTTCCTTCATCTCTATTTCTATCTTCGCCTTTCCCTTTTTTTAACATTTTTTCTTTTATTAAATCTCTCGTTTTCTTTGCTACCTCGTTTCTCTTTACGTTATTTTCACTTGTTATATTTAAATACGTATCAGTTTTTATTCCGATTCTATTTCTCATTTCCATTTTAATACGTGCTATTTTAACTGTCCCCACACTTTATACATTGTTTTTCTTGTCTAATTCTTTTTTCCTCCTTATCCTGTTTGTCGTCACGTCGTTGTCATTTCATTCAAATCTTATTCGGGACACTGTTCAGAACTTGATCTTCGAATCTCCTTGGATAAAGCAGATGGTAAATATGATTCGCGAGTGTTATTGTACATTACTGGAGTGACCAGTAAGCAACAGACTGATTTTGCGTCATTTCCTATTGTTATTCCTTCTTGTTATTTGACATTGTTTTCTATCGCGATGCGATCAGCCACGGAATCGTGTGTGAACGATATCCAGGAGACAACGTCGCAGAGCAGACCGGATTAGGGATACATCGATCATCAAGAGATCAAAGAAAGAAATCACGCAACGTCTCTTTCGAGTATACTCTCTACCCTTTCTTTTTTTTTTCTTCCATATCTTCCCTCTTTCTTACTCATTTGACATTTCCCTTCTCTTTCTTTTTAATCATCTCCATTTTCTCTTTCATTTTCTCTCATTTTCGATTTCCTTCTCAACTTTTTTACCGCTTGGTGGTGAAACGCGTCGCAGCGGCACGATCGTCATCGACGAAAAAAGAAGAATCTATATACTGTACCGCGACATACATTCGAGTTCGCGCTCAGTCAATAGCAGCTGCATCCTTTAAAATTTCAAAAGAACCACAAATACAAGAGTATCCACAAGCGTGGAACGCATTGTGATCGAATATCAAACGACCGGCGACCAAATTACCGGGAAAAAAAACTGCCTTCCACCTTAATACGGGTTATATCACCACGATTTCGAGGAGAAACGAGCCAACAAATCGCGAGGAGTAAACAGTATTATGCGTCTACACTTTTGTTTACTATTTAAGAAAAGAGATATTTACAAAAGAGTCAATATGAGTTTGCAAATCTCGTAGATAAAAGAAGGAAAAAAGAGGAAAGAGAACGAGACAAGTTCTGTGTAGGAACCGCAACGATGAAAGGTACAAATTTCGATGAACCGAGGAACCAAAGATTCCAATGATACCTTCGCAAGGTGGCCGTGAGGGATATAAAGGTTCTCCCAACCCTCCGAGCAACGGCTCTGAGGACAATGGCTTCGCTAATCGACCTCGAGTGGCGGGCCTTTACACGACGAATCTCTTCAGACAAGAGCTCGTTCGATCGTCAGAAGAGACTGGTGCTCGATCTCATGGTCCCGCGCGAGATATTCTTGAAAGATCCCCACGAGAGATTGGAAGCCAAAGAAGTTTAAATCTTCCTACGGGTATTGCCGAGGAATTTGAGCTATTGGATCGGTCGAGAATCGGGATTTCGAGGACGCCTCAACCATTAAGAAGGGCAGAGGTGGCCGTTGCTCATTATGAGCCGAGATCTAGATTCGACGAGTCGGTCAGGCGAGGGGATCATTATGGATCGCCGTCTGTCGAGAGGACGATCCGTGGGAGGGAACACGAGCAACAGGAAGGATGCGTTGTACCCGATACAATTCGAAGATCCCACGCTGAATTTTCCGAGCAGACGTTATGGATGGAGTCGGGTATCGATAATTCTAAAATACCTATTTCAACTGGCGATTTTGCTGGAAGAAGGGGGCAAGATGATAGTTCCACTTTCGCATCAACATCCGCCTCGATACTCATTTCACCCGCTAGCGAAACAAGCGAATGCGATGCGATCTCGCCCCCGGAAGTGGAGAAGCCATCACCGCCACCGTACACGGGCCTTAGCCCGCCTGAATATACCGAGCACGTGTACGAAACTAGTGAAACACCTTCGCCGATATTTCCAAATTATCCGTTGACATCGTACGCGGAGGAGACGCGTCACAGGCGTTCGAGATCCTCTGTTTCGGACGCCGAACTTGAATTTATAGTACGCAAGGAACGTTTAAGAAGCGAGGATCGGTTTGAGTCGGAACACTTGGAGAAAGATTCGAGGCAAATTGAATCCGAGCATCGAGATTTTTCTAAAACGATTAAATCCACGGATGAGGATGCATCGAGATCGAGGGATGTGGCGAGGTTACGACCTCCTTTAACAGCAGTGGCGGGCGCTTCGGCCGATTCTGGGACCGGTGATTCCGGAAGTGCGGAGATCCAGGTGGATCCTCTTGGTACGCCTAGGACAACGACCGCCGGCGAGATTTTGGATGTAGGGAACGGGATTGAAAACGGTCAAGCTGCCAATAAATCGACGATTAAAACTCCCACGAACAATAAACAAACGGTTAAACTGTTCACAAAAGAAAGCCTCGACAGGTTGGAGAATAGAACTGTGCAACTTGTCAGAGATTATGGATTTCAACCGAAGAAACGGATGTCGGTCGAAGATGGTGCGGTGCTTCCAAATAAATATGAACCTTTCCCAACCGATCTTTACGGCAGGCCTCTCGAAGAAATCGATAATTTTATTTACGACGAGGTATGTTTTTAAGCATACGTACTTTTTTCTTGTTATTTTATAATAAAAGTTCAATTTTAATGAAACACGTGGAAAGTTTTAAATAGAATTTATAATGTTATCAAAAGAAAAAATTAAAATCGTCAAATTGATAAGCAGAATTTATGAATTTCGAAAAATAAAAATCTTATTTCATAAAAATGATAAAAATTAAAGCAAACATCTCTCTTTTTTTTAAATAAATATTTTTTCAAATCATAATTGTTATAATATAAAAACGTTTAATTCTCAAAGTACAAATCAAGAACGGTGGCCAATAATATATACAAATTTATCTAATTTTTGTTACTACCTATCGTTATTATCAGTTGGATCAAAAATGATCCAATCATCGAATAATAAGAGTTAAATATTGATATTTATTGAAAATAAATCATCAATATTTTTTTATATCTCTTCTCTCGGATTCTCGTGAAATTCGATGATTTGATTCATGTATCATGTGTTTCAGACATTTTGCGTAGTATCGAAGAGATTTCGTAAAAATTACATCCACAGATTTACGGCGACGAACAGTTGGTTCATATTTTCTCCATGGAATCCTATAAGACGATATTGTATTTACTTAAGCACGAATCAGTACTTCGATTATGTAGTCATGGCTACGATAATATTAAATTGTGCCTTCCTCGCCATGACAGAAACTATCGAGGAAGCCGAGTAAGCATTTTCACAAACCATTCAACCATTCGAATTAATCAGACATTTAGGGTAGGGTAATGTAACATGTGCCTTCGCCTCTTTTTATTTTTTTCAGATATATATTCTTAGCTATATACACGGCTGAAATGGTGATCAAGTCGATAGCTAAGGGATTTGTGCTCAATAAGTATACTTATCTGCGAAATCCGTGGAACTGGTTGGATTTCGTAGTTATCACTAGTGGCTATGCGACTATAGGGATGGAAGTAGGAAATTTAGCTGGATTGAGAACATTTCGAGTATTGAGAGCTCTTAAAACCGTTTCAATTATGCCTGGTAAGAATCTAAGAAAAGCGACTATTAATAATCGGAAATTTTTTCCCTCTTTTTTTCTCGTAATTATAATATAAAATATCGTACAAACCCGATTTTCTAATTAATGAATCACGACTCACAGAGAATGTTGTAGTATATTGTGAAAGATTCTTGGTTATTTTTAGTTGGAACTATTTTTATAGAAAATTTTATTATGAAAAGTTTTATCACTTATTATATTTATTTAAATATAATATTCTATATTTGAAATATTCTATTATATAGGTTTTTTATGAATGAAAAAAATTGATTAAAGGCCAGTGCAAAGGATATTTAAAGCATGTAGATCTATTTAAAAGTCCATTATAATTATATTTTATATTATCTTAATTAATGGTGCAATAATATATTATCATATTAAATATAAAAGAAAAAATTTATTTTTAATATATTAATAAATTCATTTATTAACAATAGATAGAAATTTATTATACAAATATAAATTAATCGTTGTGTATTAGAAAATTTACAAAAAAATTTATTTACTATAAGGAAATAAGGAAATAAAAAATAGAAAAATAATTGTTTACCTAATATTCTTGCAGGCTTAAAAACCATCATAAATGCATTGTTACATAGTTTTAAGCAACTTGCCGAAGTAATGACGCTCACGATCTTTTGTCTGATGGTTTTTGCACTTTTTGCTCTACAAGTTTATATGGGTGAACTTCGAAATAAATGTGTTAAAATTTTGGAATTCAATGATACACAAGTCGATTGGAAAGAGTACGTATTGTTTATCATATACATGTAAATATACTTGTTAGATATACGTGTTGCTTTTATAGTATTTATATATATGTATACATATACATATGTATCTACTTGAGAGACAATAGCTCGTTGACTCTCAAGAGGCATTAACCGATACCTTATACCGTCCACAGGTGGACTTGGAACTCATCCAACTGGGCATTCGACGAAGATGAAGAACCAATAATTTGCGGTAACGCGACTGGCGCCAGGTTAGTCAAACTTGGTTCATTACTAGGCGCGAGTATTCTGAATAACATCTCGTTTTAACGCGAAAAATCTACCTTTTAGACATTGCAACGAAAGTTACATTTGCCTTTGCGTTGGCCCAAATCCAAATCATGGTTATACAAATTTTGATAATTTTCTCTGGTCAATGCTCACCACGTTTCAGTTGATTACTTTGGATTATTGGGAAGACGTCTACAATAAGGTAGTTAGTCAATTTTTTGTATGAATTATTATTTTATTATTTTTACACATTTTTATTAAATTCTTAAAATTTTTAAAATTTGAAATTTTCAAATTCTTGAATACTCTTTTCTTTTTTTTTTCCTAAGAAGTATTATTTTGTTGAAAACTAAAAATTAAACAATTTTTAATTTGTTAGAATTTTTAAATTCAAGCGTTTTTTCTTAAAAAATGAAAGCAAAAATAAATGATAAATAATATTTATCTTTTCAATTTATGAAAAATTAAATTTTTATATTTCATTTTTTCTTAATAAAACATTGAAATATATTTGAGAAATAATCATTTAAAATTGAATCTAAACTTCGAAAAAATAATTATTAATTATTAATAAATAAAAATTTATATTATTATAACAATATTCTTTATTAAGTTTTTTATAATATTTTTATAAATTATTGTTTTCCTTGATTTTTACAAAAATAGTTTCGATGTGTTTTAACAACTTCAAGTATTCTATTCCTAATTATTTTATTTTTCGATACAATCATTACTATTTTAATAATCAATATTTGTATTCATACAAGGAATGATAATATCGAGTCCATTAGGTATTGTCGGCGTGCGGACCTATCAGCGTCTCGTTCTTCACGGTGGTCGTGTTTTTTGGATCATTTTATTTGATCAACCTGATGCTCGCTGTCGTTGCATTGAGTTACGAGGAGGAAGCAGAAATTACAAACGAGGTGTGTAATCGTTTCAATTGCACGCTTTCGATTTCTCTCATCCTTACGATTGATATAACAGGAACGAAGGAAGGATTTAACCGACCATCGCGAGGACTCGACGTTTAGTTTCGACCCGACAAAAATCAATGTGAAGACGCTTGCCAAAGAAAAGCAAAAAAAATTGGATGCAAGAAAAGGGGTTCTCTTAAGTAGTTACACGCGTAAGAAGACGCGAAGAAGAAGACGTGGGAGAAGCACTGCCGGTTCCACTTCATCTGGTCAAGATAAAGGTGGCTCTGTGCCAAGCAGGTATACACTTTTATCACCCGAGTAGAATTGAATTGAGCGCGGAAAATGGAAAAATTGTCGAAAGATTTTTTTTAAAAAAAAAAAAAAAAAAGCTAGATGATTTTTTATTATAATTTTCTCACCGATTAGGTCGGTGACACCGAGCCCGAATCCAAGTCCAAGACACTCAAACGTTCGACCGTCTCATTTACTTCTACAAAATGTCAATCCGCGAACAGCTGAAAATAATGGAGTTCATAGATTGGCGCCAAATCGTGGTATGCTTCATTCTCGACAAGCAAGTAACAACAGTAATCAACAATCGTCGTTAGATGATTCCGGGGTTGTCGACGATCATGATGCCGATGATGTAACATCCGTGGAAGAGCACGATAGACGCGATAACAAAGAATGTAGGGGCAATTGGCAAGAGAGGACGCCCACCAATAATAAGAATGGGGACACCAATGGCGAAACGAATCCGGATCAAACGAGAAATGGAATGAACAATGAGACGGAAGTAAACGACAATGAACGAGAAGAATCGGAGGCAACCCATTCCGGTAGTTATCTTCGAACATCTGCAAATATTCCTGTCTCTCTTGCTGGCGGACCCACTCGAGAATTTCGAGTGTTTAAGTGCAATGGTGTGAAAACAAAGAAACAAATGTACACTTTACCACCAGAGTATTTATCGCACATTGTTATTTTAGGTAGGATCATTTATACGTGCAGAGAATTCCTGAAATCGTGGAAAAAAAGTAAAGAATGAATCGAAAATATGGAATAAAATTTTTTCGAAAAGATTAAGTTTGAGAATTTGTCAAATTATATAATTATATATAATAAGTATTTAAACTCAATCTGCTTGGTTCATTTATTATCGATCTTACGTTTTAAATTATACCAAATATTTATTCACATTGTTATTCACAAACATGAATAATTGAAGCAGATTGTCTTTAAATACGTCCATAAATAACAAATTTTCTAAATACTTGCATAAAAAATTTTTTACATAAAAAATTTTTTACATAAAAAATTTTATTCTATATTTTTTTTAAGTTAGAAATCATCTATCCTCTTTTAATGATGATTACGATTTCAGAAACATTCCATCGTATAGATTCAAAATGAGAATTATTAACGATCTATTCGTCTCGTGTTCTAGATGATCTACCGGATAGAAATTGTGAAAAATGCATCCAATGCTGCGTAGATTACGAGGGTTGGCTACGATTTCAGAATTGTTTGTACAAGGTAGGTATGCTAAAAAGGTAAAGATAGCGTCGAGAGGGGAGCGTCTTCGGAGATGAGAACGCAAGTATTCTTATAACATAATATAATTCGATATTTTTTACATATTATTTTATTAAAATATTGAACAAAACGAATGAATTGTTGTTAAAATCAAATGAATAAAAGTTATAATGAATAAAAAAAAAAAGAAAGAAAGAAAACGCTCGACTCTCGATTGATCAATGGCTCGTATCTAGGTAGTGAGAGATCCACTATTCGAGTTGACGATCACACTGTGCATCGTCCTCAATACCGGCTTTTTGGCAATGGAACATCACGGAATGAGCGAATCGATACGACAGGCGCTCAACATCGGTAATAAAGTGTTTACCAGTATCTTCACCTTCGAATGCTTGCTGAAGCTGTTGGCGCTGAGTAAAGATTTCTTCGCCAACGGATGGAACAATTTCGATTTGATAATAGTGTCAGCGTCTCTGATAGATCTTACCTTCGAGCTGGTAGACGGTCTCTCCGTGATACGCGGACTGAGGCTTCTGCGTGTGTTAAAATTGGCACAATCCTGGACAACGATGAAGGTTCTCCTCAGCATTATTATCTCGACGATCGGCGCTCTTGGAAATCTCACCTTAGTTCTGGTGATCGTGATTTATATATTCGCCGTGATCGGCATGCAATTATTCAGTAAAGATTACACATTGGACAAATTCTATCCGGATCCTGTACCACGTTGGAACTTTAACGATTTCTTTCACTCGTTTATGATGATATTTCGTATACTTTGCGGAGAATGGATCGAGCCGTTATGGGATTGCATGAGAGCGGAACAAGAAGACGGACCCGAGGCATGCTTCGCTATATTTTTACCGGCTCTCGTCATGGGTAATTTTATGGTGTTGAATCTCTTCCTTGCTTTACTGCTCAACAGCTTCAATTCGGAAGAGTTGAAGCAGAAAAAGGAAGAGGTCGGCGAGGATTCGAAACTCGCAAGATCGTTCGATCGTATTCGTTCGATTATAAGAAAAAATAAATGTTCCCGGATGGGGCAAATTGTCGCAAAAGGAAGAGGGAAAGATCCTCGTTTCGAAAAGATCGTGCGAAGAGTTATGGATCGATCCGACAATGAGACTAAATACGCCATTCAAGAGACTGTGCTCAACCTTCCAAAGGATAACGTTTACAATAGATCTTATCAAGAAAGTTTGAATCAGCCAGTTTTTACTTACGATCCGGTTTACTCTCAATCTCAGATGGAAGGGCAAAGATACGAACGGTGGGAAAAAGACGATGAAGAAAAGAACGAAACAACGTATGACGAAAAGAATTACTCGAATAAAGAAAAAGAGATGGAAATGAACGAAAACAAGGAAGAGGAATGTCAAGATCTGGAAGTCGTGAGAGATTCCTCGTGTTCGAACAAAGCACCCGCGGAAGAAAGAATCGCGATGCTACCTCAAAAAGATCCATTTCCTAGACACGAGGATCGAATACCTAAGCGACCTTGGCACGCGCTCGTCAGTTATGTCGATGAACTGACCGTTGGTGGTAGAAGAGATAGCAAGGGGAAATATATCGACGGGATGGGTTCTTTCCCCGGATTTGGAAGGAGTAATCGGCGTAAAGAACCGCAAGATTGCTTTCCACGACAGTGTTACCAGAAGTAAGAACCAATCTAACCGCACTTCGAACTTTCTCTTCTTTTGCCCGTGTGAATGACGTTTGATAGCGATATTGTATGTGCAGGTGTACCTGCATCGATCGGTGTATTGCAACAGCTATTGGCAAAAAATGGATCAAACTACGAACAATGATTCTATCGGTCGTTGACACGCCTGGCTTCGAATGGATGATCCTAGTTTTAATTTTTGCATCTTCCATAACGCTTTGTTTTGAAGATATTTACCTAGATGATAATCCTTTTTTGAAGAAAATCCTCTATTGGACCAATCTTGGCTTCTGTGCGCTTTTCAGTATTGAGATGTTACTCAAGTGGTTAGCTCTGGGTTTCTGCAAATATTTCACCAGTTTTTGGACAATCTTGGATTTTATAATTGTCTTTGTAAGTAGAGTTATAAATTCAACAGCGGCATCGATTTCAATCGTATACACACGCACACACACACATATATATATATATTATATGTGTTTCGTGTATGTGCAAACAAAAGCACATATGTGTGCGCGAGCGCATGTGGTGTAAATTTTACGTCCATCTTTGCTGCATGGATTTTTGTTTATCGTCGATCGTAACTATCGTGTTACGATCTCGCTCTTTGTCTCACTTTGTCTTTCTCATTTTTATGCATTTATTTCTTACATTTTTTATATGTGTCGCCTTGCGGATTCAGGTACGTGCAATATTAATATGTCGCTTTTACTCAATTTGATCATGGCTGAAATATCCTTGCAACGCTTTATATCTTAATGCGATCCACCAGAATTTCAACTAATTTGTCCAATTTTTTTTATTCCACCTTAATATTAATTTCTCTCATATTATGCACTCGTATAAATTTTCGAATCTTGAGATATTAGTAGACCGATTGCACTATTTCTTATCGTTACATATTTTTTTTATATATTCGTTACACGAATATATATATTCCTGTAATTTTATGAAGAATGAATAAGGATAAAATAGAATGAGTTCGATAATTTTTTTATAATATAAAATGAAGAAGTCTGTTTATAAAATCCCCAAATTTTTATACGCGATATTTTTTTTTAACGATTTTAGATATTAATATTTTTGCAATATGTAAACTGATTCTTAAAACATTAATGTGAGATTATAAAGACGATCCATTAGAATTTTTAGAGAAAAATATGCATATTTTTGTTATTAGTTTTATGATTTTAATAATTTTGGTATATAAGTTATTCTTATAATCAATAGTATGATTTCGAAAAATTAAAAATTTTTTATTCATTTAAGCAAAAAGAAATGTATATATTTTTCAAAGTTGCACTTAACAAAACAAAATTGCAATCTAGAAATTTTCTACGTATGTATAGTATACATAATAACTATGTTACAAAATGATATTTTTTTTATTTATAATAATACATACAAATATCAAAAGAATTAATTATTTGGTTAAAAATAGATAAAGACATAGCATTTTTTGTTAAGATTGTATTTTTAGAAGTTTCAAGATTATTAATATTTTTTAAACCGAACTACATATTTTTATCATTATAACGTAATAACTGAGGTCAAGATCGATTAAATGACCTAAATACCATGATACTATGACTTTCAAGCGACCTTGAATACAAAAAAATTAGACTACAAGAAATCAATTTTCTTTTTTATTCAAAAAGAATTAATTTTGATTTAAAAATTATAGTATTTAGATTATTGAATCTTGACTTTAGTTATTAATTATGTTATGATGATAAAAATATAATTGTTAAAAAATATGACCTTAAGAAAGAAAATGTTGTCACGTTTATTCAAATCGAATAATTTATTCTCTTGATATTCGCTAAGAGACATCGCTTTGTAACAGAGTTATTGAAATAATATCCTGTATTTATTTTTATATTCTTATATTCATATTATATTTTAATTTATTTTTATTTATTAATTATTTATTTACTTATTAAGTTAAAATAAGAATTGATAAATAAAGATTAATATATATATTATATGTCAACTGTAATATTTTTAAAATGATTATATAATTATAAAAAAAATATAATTAATAAAATAAAATAATAGATATAAAAAGCATGTTTTGAAATTAATTTTATATATTATCTTAGTAATCTTATATTATACATAGTGGCACAAAATTTCTGTTTTTATTTTATTTTTTTAATGAATTTTTTTCTATTCTCTTAGTATCAATCAATGAAACTTTTCAATTAAGTATTCAATTAAGATTTTCAATTAAGAAGTTATGTATTATTTTATTAAAAATTAAAATTTATTAAAATTTGAAATGTGCTAAATATAAATTAAAATTCTATAAAAAATTCTAATTATCAATTATATTTTCACTTAAATATTTACATTTAAATATTTTGAGTGAAAAATTCATATGTGTTGAAAAATTATGAATAAAAAATGTATTCAAGATTTATTTGTTTATGATAATCTATCTAGTTTAATTAATAAAATACATTCTTTTGAAACATTTATTTTTATATCGTCAACATTAATAATAATGTTTGTAAATATTTCAAACTTCAATTAATGAAATATTTTAATAATTTTCTATTAGTTTTCTTTTATCTATGCTTTCATAATTTCTTATCAATTATTTAATATTTATTCTTTCGAATCCCAATATAAAATATTGCATATTGCAATGTAAAATATTACAAAGTGCAAATGATTTCACATTTTGATTTTTTTTATATTTAATTTAATTTTTAAACATTATTATTTAAGTTTGAAACTTTTTTTCATGGTCAATCTACCGATTAGCTTCCTCCTCATTGATCTTAATGAGCCTGAAATATGTTATAAAAAGCTTTATTTTGAACTTTCTTTTTTATGCATAAATGATGGTCAATTTTAATTTTCGAATTATTTGCAAAAAAATTTAATACTAAATCATTGTTTATATATGTCTATGTGTATGCTTATAATAATATATGTTCAATATACCATCATTACTTAAAATACTGATAATCATATATAATAAATAAGCTCGAAAATCTACTTTTTTATGAAATTGAACGTGAAATTTTTTTAAGATTTTTTTTATATTCTTTTTATATATAGAATTATTCGTAATTCATAGTATAAATGAGATCAAAAAGATTCTATGATTCGAAATAATACGAAAATTAAGAATAACTAAATTACATGAATATCCATTTTTCTTAAAACAAATTTGAAAATTTTTCAAATATAAGTGAAATTAGTTAATTTTCTATAGCTTCTTGTATATGAATGAACTATAGAAGATTATTATAAACACGAAAATAAGTATAAAATATATCTTTTCCATTTAAAAATTAATTATTAAGAATTTGAAAACTCATCGATTATAGGATTTCTTGATATTTTAAAAACAAGGACTTAAATAATAAACTTTTATTTTACATTTTTTACTTATTTTCATATACAGAATAATTATCATTGATATCTATTGAATTCATTTGTATCAAGAATTTCATTTATATTTGAAAAATTTCAAATTTGATTTATTCGAAATCAAAGATTCATATGAGAAAAATTCATTCTGTATTTTCGTTTTATTTTGAGCCTTGATCTCATTTGTACTATGAATTATGGATCAATCTGTATATAAAACGAGAAAACTAACTTCGATCATTGTAATTTCGGTCGTTCAAGGATTGTTTTATACTTTATTTTCACATTCCGGAGATCTGAAAAGAACCCGTACTTGCTACGGATACTAAGTAAGTGATATTTGTTCATCTGTTATATCGTATTTATGCAAACAGTTGAAAAGGGGCGATCGCGTACTGTCGTACGTGCTCCTGCGAATGCATACATAGTATAAGAATTCAATGTAATAATACCGAAAGTTTTTTGCTAACTAACTCTAAATAATTTGAAACTTAAGCTTTATGTAGAATGGAAAAAGTTGCTCAAAATGATATTTTTTTAAATATCATTCAATAAGGAAGGAGCTAATCGGCAAATTCATTTTTTTTCATAGAACAGATTACAAATATTTGGATTTAAGCAAAATTAAATCATTTTTTTTACATTTAAAAATTCAAAAATTTAGATGATCAAATCAAAATATAAAAGTTAAAAATGAAAAAATTGCATTTAAAGCTTCGTTTTCAGTTTTCAGTCGCTAAATAAATAACAAAACCGATAATATTCTATAATATAAATTCTTTTATTTTTAGTTTTATTTTGACATGATAAATTATTCTTTAAATATTTGGATATTTGTTATTAAATATCTTGTATATACAATACATATATGCAATAATTTCCAAGTAAAATAAAATTCCAAGTTAAAGAAAAATCAATCAAAAATAATTTCAAGAATAATGTGATTTTTGTTTTTTTTATAATGTACTTATCTTATAATTAAGAAGATTATTTATTATTGATACGTGCACAATTATAGCTTCAGCTTTATAAAATGCTTTAAAAAAAAATCTCAAATGTGTATATTGTTTTGCATGGTATTTTATGTATCGCTATTACTGTTGTTCCCTAAATATTTAAATAAAATAACTATCCGATCATTTCTATTTTGTCTTTTCCTCTTTCTCATTTCGATAAATGAAATCGTATATAAACTATAAAAAATTTTTTTGAATATTTATCTACGTATTATTTATATATAAATAGGAAATTATTTATTTTCAGTCTTTATTGTTTTCGTTTTAATTAGAACATTTTTAAAATAGAAAATTTTTAGAAAAAATTTACGATTAATCATTCATTATAATATACAAGTAGCATGTTATATATTTCTTTGAATGATAAAAGAAAAAAGAAAATAAACGAGTATCTTCAAAAATCGTAATTTAATTTTTCTTGAACAGGTATCAACATTTAGTCTGTTAATAGAAGAAAACGAAAATTTGAAAGTGCTAAGATCTCTAAGAACTTTGAGAGCACTAAGACCTTTAAGAGCAATATCGAGATGGCAAGGCATGAGGGTAAGGGATTGAGTAGATCAATGTTAATAATATAGATTAGATGGCTAATACATTCCTAAAGCTTGGAAGTTAGAAGTATTCCGTATTTTCTTCTTCTTGTCTTTGCTAGATCGTAGTGAACGCGTTGATGTATGCGATACCTAGTATATTCAACGTGCTCCTCGTCTGTCTCGTGTTCTGGCTGATATTTTCTATAATGGGTGTACAATTTTTTGGCGGAAAATTTTTCAAATGCGTTAACGAGTACGGCGAATTATTAGATATATCGGTAAGTAAAATCTTTTTCTGTTGTTTTTTTCCGTTTTAATGGCAAAGAAAAAAGCTAAATTATCGAAAAAGTCGAGAGAAATGAAAGGAAGAAAATTTGAATCGATGAACGTTATTTCTATAGATTGTAAACACGAAAGACGATTGTTTGAGGAAAAATTACTCTTGGGAAAATAGTAAAATCACGTTTGATCACGTGGGAATAGCATATCTAGCTTTGTTCCAAGTAGCCACTTTCGAAGGGTGGATGGAGGTGATGCAGGATGCGGTAGACGCAAGAGGTGTAGATCTTCAACCTCAAAGAGAAGCAAACATCTACGCATATTTCTACTTTGTGATATTTATCGTTTGCGGCTCTTTTTTTACACTAAATCTCTTTATCGGAGTAATTATAGACAACTTTAATATGTTAAAGAAAAAGGTAAGAAACATAAAATCAGTCGAAAAGAGATGCTTGAAAAATAATTTTTTACATATTTCGTCGAACGCTGAAACTTTCTTCCCCATTTTCATTCCCTTTCATCCCTATTTTCAGTACGAAGGTGGAGTGCTAGAAATGTTTTTGACCGAAAGTCAAAAACACTACTACACTGCCATGAAAAAACTTGGCCGTAAAAAGCCACAAAAAGTGATAAAGCGTCCGATGAATCAAATCCTCGCAATGTTTTATGATCTATCGAATTCACGCAGGTAAATGAATCTAAGTTCTATTTGCTTCTTTACGTACTTTCTTTTTTGTTTTTATTCATCATTGAATTTTTCTCTTTTCTTTTTTTTGTTTTCGAGAAATTTAAAACACAGTTTTTTTTATCGATTTCACTATAATATAAACAACAACTACTAAATGTTTCCAGATTTGAAATAGCAATTTTCATTTTGATATTTCTCAACATGCTGACAATGGGAATCGAGCATTACGATCAACCTCATCCAATTTTCTTCGTCCTTGAAGTATCGAATGCATTTTTCACAACTGTTTTTGGCTTAGAAGCAATCGTGAAAATAATAGGACTTCGATATCATTATTTCACGGTGCCATGGAACTTGTTCGATTTCCTCCTTGTGCTGGCTTCAATATTAGGAATATTAATGGAGGATATTATGGTAGACTTTCCGGTGTCCCCGACGCTCCTGCGAGTCGTGAGAGTGTTCAGAATTGGTAGAATCTTAAGGCTCATAAAAGCAGCAAAAGGTATTCGCAAACTGCTCTTCGCTCTGGTGGTTAGTCTTCCAGCGCTATTCAACATCGGTGCCCTGTTAGCTCTAATTACTTTTATTTATGCCATTATCGGCATGTCAGTATTTGGTCACGTTAAGAAACAAGGTGCGCTTGATGATATGGTGAGTAATGTCATTTAAATTTTTTCCAATTTATTTTTTTCTATATCTCTATTTTTCTCGATTACGCGTTATCTTTTCCTCTCTGTTTGTTTTCTCTTATTTTCTCGTTTCATTCCCTGTAGGTAAATTTTGAAACTTTTGGTAGAAGCATGCAATTACTGTTTCGATTAATGACCTCAGCTGGTTGGAACGACGTGTTAGAATCATTGATGGTACAACCACCGAATTGCGATCCGACTCCAACTAATCGGCAATTGAATGGAAATTGCGGATATCCTCTATTGGCAATAACCTATTTTACTTCTTTCATCATAATCAGCTATATGATCGTTATCAATATGTACATTGCTATTATTCTCGAGAATTTTAATCAGGCCCATCAAGAAGAAGAAATCGGTATTGTCGAAGACGATCTAGAAATGTTTTACATTCGATGGTCCAAGTAAGTGTATTTACTTTTGTATCTTTTTACTTTTTATTTTTCTTTTTGGTTATGCTTTCTATCGCAAAATCAACATTAACACGTGTAATCATAATTAATTCATAGATACGATCCGCACGCGACACAATTCATAAATTTTTCGCAATTAAGCGATTTCATAGCAAGTCTGGATCCACCATTAGGGATTTCGAAGCCCAATATGGTTGCACTAGTTAGTTTTAATCTACCTATCGCAAAGGGTAATAAGATTCATTGTCTGGACATTCTGCACGCACTTGTCAAGCACGTCCTTGGACACGTAGAAGAGTCTGAAGATTTTCGAAAGCTGCAGGAACAAATGGATATTAAATTTAAGAAACAATTTCCCACTCGTAAAGAATTAGAAATTGTTTCTTCAACGAGAATGTGGAAACGTCAAGACAAAGCAGCTAGGTTGATTCAACGTACCATCAGGGAATATATAACGTGAGTAATGTTAATTAATGTTTCCATTTAACGTTCTTCAAATATGATTCTACAATAAGAGTTTACGTTGTATTATTCAGAGCGAAAAAGGAACGTGAAAGGATGGCTCAAGAAGTGGATTCTCAGACTCAGACGTCAAGTCCTGGTGGTGGGAACGAGGGTAGGGGCGGGGGTGGATGGAGTGGCAAAGTATCGGCTTTTCTACATGTGCATAGAGGTAGTCGAGCCAGTAGTCGCAAGTCCTCGAGGGCCAGCGACGCCAGCGATTTCAGCGAGCTCGGTACAGCTTCGGCATGGCTTTTTCCAAATTTACCTCTGCTGTTGCTCTCCGGCGCCACCGGTACTCACGAGGACCTGCCTCCTCCCGCTCTGACCGTATCCCGTCCCTCGCCGACTACAGAACAACAAACGTTTACCGGTTCCTCTGTTGCTTCTGCTACTTCCTCTGATCTACACACTAGGTTTGCGTTTCCTTTTCTTACTCGTTTTCAATACATGTTTAATAATGTGTAATAATTTTACAGTTTAATTATTTTTCTCAATTTTGATTATTTGATTGATTAAAACTTCATTTTATTCTTTTTTTAATAATATTTCGAAATCTTAAAGATAAAACATTTCGTTATATACAAGATGAGCGATCTCTATGAACAAAGTATCATTCTCATAGAGCGTCAATAATATAAAGATGCTAATGATTTTATGCGCAAAAAGAAATAGCAAAAAAAAAATGTAAAAAATTAAAAAACAAATTTTTTTTATTTAAAGTATTTTATTTAAAGTCTATATTATTAATAGTTTATATTTCATGCGAATGCATCCATTGATACTTTTTTTTTTTCAATCACTAAGATTTTTATAGATGTTTGCATTCAATTTCTGTTTATCATTTTTCCAGCAAGCCTTAATAATCTAAACTATTTGCATCAGTTTTAAAATTAATGAAATTATTATGTTATCATTAACAATTATGTGAACATAATTTGAATTTAATCTCTTTAATCTTTGAAATTCCTTCCATTCATTACTTAATCTAATCTAATTTAACTTGAATTTAAAGTTTCTACATAAAAATATATACATATGTCATACTCTCTTTCATATCAAATAAAAACATTTTGTTACTATCATCTTGCATAAATAAAATGATATCGATAAGATTGTTCTTTAATTTTGAATAAAAAAATTTATGAACATATATAATTATATATGTTATTATGTTATTTATTAATTATTAATTTATTAATTTATTATGTTATTTTTTATAGATTTTAATGAAACTTTTTTAATTATTTTGTTGTAATGTAAAAAAATGTTAAATTGTAATGTAAAAAAAAAGCGATAATCGGATTTTAATAATCTTAAAAAATATAAAATTAGTTTGTACTTATAATAATTAATAATCAATTATTTCATAAGTCTTGATTTAAGTTGAATTAAATGATAATTCTTTATCGCTTTTTTCACTACTTGATAAAAAGATCTTTTAACTTAAAATTTTTACTTCTCTTAAATTTTTTATTATTATTATTATTTTTTTTTTATTATTATTAATTAAATCCAATTGCAAATTTTTCCTATTGTTTATTTATGATACAACAAAGTAATTAAGAAAAAATCTTATTCAAATCTATAAAAAGATAATTCTTTTAATCAATATGTTACATTTATATTTAATATAATGTATTTAATATTTTTTTTAAATGTTCCTGATGACTTCTTCTTTTTTAAGATAAATTCAAATGAAAAACCATAGTTAAAAATAATTAAAATTGAGAAAAAAATCACTGAACTCCAATATTATCCAATATACTTTTCTTCTCTAATATTAGATAAACTTTAAAAAATGAAATTATAATACGATAATAATTTACGATAGATCAATCGGGGGTCCAACTCTCGGCCGACAAAATGCCGTTGAAAGTTATCCCGACGAGGAAGTCCCTAGTCTTCCTACGAAGCGCAAATCACTTCCGCCAAGCGCTACAACACTCTCTCTGAACACCTTACATCGTGATATCAAAGAAGCATTTAGCAGACGTTGCGGTAGCCTTCGAAAGAAACATCAACCAGCTCCTGAACCAGCTCCGCTGCCAATCGAATCTACCGATGTAAGCATACTTGTTACGGAACCCAGTCCAGAGAATTCAGCACCGCCTTCAAGACCGGCATTACTTAGACAACAATCCGCCGCCACGGTCGTTCATGTCCTCGTACACAGGGAGAGTGAAGAATATCGAGATGTACAACCCGATAATGCCAGTTGATCTTAGATCATTATGCTCGACATCCTTCCTAAAACAATTTAATGAAAGGCTAATTTGCTTTTTATCGCGTTACTATCACTTCGAGATTCGAATCTAATCAATTCCCTCTCCTCTCCCCCTTTCTTTGACGCTGTTGCCTTATCATCATTACCATCATTTATAATCTTTTTATTATTTCATTATTAATATATTTCAATTAAATTATTTCAATTAAATTATTTATTTGAAACTAAACTATTTATTCTTATATTTAGATTTTACAATATATTTCTTTTCTTTTATAAGGAATCTCTTTTTCTTTTATAAGGAAATTTTTTTTACGATACTTTTCATACTATAATAAATAACAATAGCCTACTTATATATATATCTAATCAATTTATTGCAACGAGCTTAAATTTTTTTCTTCTGCAATAAAAATCCATAGATGAATAATATAATATAGTTTAGGTAGTTTAATTGACTTAATATTACTCTAAACTCGCATTCTTCTACCATGATTAAAAGTAATTGGACCAATTTAGTGAAATATATTTAAATTCCGGTCCCTTATTCAAATTAAATCATTAATACAATCTACTCGTTATAAAAAAAAATGAATAATAATTACATGAAAAAACAAATAATACTGCCTTAAATAGCATAGATTTTTAATTTATAATTATTTTAAAGAAAGAAACAAAAAGAGAGGGAAAGAGAAGATGGAAAGAGGAATATGTACATTTTTTAAAGAGATTGTATAGTAATCAGGTAGTTGTTTTTCTTTATACTTTTAAAGGAACATAGATTGCTAGTACCGCTACTAATTTTATATAATATCAGATATCATAAACAATAGCATTTATAGAACGTAAATGTATATGATGTTTGTCTCATTCAAAATTATTAAAATTACAACATTCCTAATAAGTAATAAGAATACATATTTATCTATTTGCTATTTATGTACGATAAATGAAATTCATCCTGCATTTATTAGAAGAAAATGCTTTCTTTTCTGGGCATAATTCAATATCGAAATAATGAATTATATATTGATTATGCTAATAGATCATGATTGATATATTTTGTTATATGTATATTTATATTGTATATTTGTATATTTATATTTTGTTTATATATATGTATATGTATTATTTATATACATTAATTATATTTGTTTAAGTTAATTATATTAATTAACTTTGACTATGATTAATATTTTGTTAACTCTTTAATACTTTGTTAAATTCTTTAATTATAATAAAAATATATTTTTTCTTTTTATATTATAATCAAAGAACAAATTAAGTACAAACAAAATATTTTAATTTTAATCATAATCTCAATACAATTTTATGATATAGTTTATAATATATCAATATCCGGAATATAAAATATAAAATCATTAATCAATAATTAACAAAATAAATAAAATTAATAAACAAAATAAATAATTAATAAAATAAATAAAATTTATTAAAAATTTGTATTAGTATAAAATGAACAATGTCCAGAAAAGATTCTTATCCCTTATAATAATACACATTTTAAAAATAGAACGCAATTAATTTATTGCATTATAATTGTGTATTAATTAATGTTAAAAAAAGAAAAAACGAATTTCCATTTTAAAATTAGTATTAATTTTTAAATTAATATAATTACATTTCTATTCATATTGTACCTAATATAATAGAAAGATGAATCAAATGAAGTTAACCAATATATATATCGAATATAAAAAAAAAAACAATGTTATAGATTTTTTTGTTCATTTATTTTTCATTTCATTCGATTCATCATAAATATATATATAATATGAAAGAAGTTTGTACATTTCAAACAATTTTATATTTATCTTCGAAGAAAAATCTTAAATTCAATAGTTAACAAATTAATAATATAAATGAAAACAAAAAAAATTTTTATATATTTAAAACAATAATATAAATTGTTTTCATAATTTTATTGGACTCTATTATAAAATTCATTAATAAGGTACAAACCATTTTCTTTTTAATATATAAAATTAAAAAATAAATGATAACAAATATATGAAAATCATATTTTCAAAAAATTATGTAAATTGTTATTCAATTGTTGATTTTGCAAATTATTGACGATTATAGTATATTTATAATTATATTATATCAAAGCAATTTTTCATTTATTTTTTTATTAAAAAAAATATCTTCGGTGATAAGTATTATAAATACATATATATCATTCTAATATATTCATGGAAAATTTTTAGAAAATCTAGAAGAAATTCTGAAGATCAAAATAAATAATAATTATTATATAAAAATGTCGTAAATTTCAATTGCTTAATAAATAAGCTTCAATTGATATTTTTGTATACTAATTTTTGTATTTGTTTTAATCTTTCGAATCAATCTGTTAAAGATATTTGTATTTGTTTTGATCTTTCGTATCAATCTATTAAAGATATTCCATGAATATATTAACAGTATATATTTACATATAATGCACATATAAAATTAATGTGACTATTTTCCATTTTGTTTTTTTCTGTTTTATACAAAATTTATATGTAAAAGAGCTATGTATCATCAAACATTTATATAACATGAAACTAATTATGAAAGAATTAAAAGATATTTAATAACAGAAAGGGAGAGAGGTAGAAAAAAGTGAAAGAGAAAGAGAGAAAGAGAAAAGACAGAAAAAAAGATTTAAGTAGAGAAAGGAACAACGAATTTTGTAGTAATTAAGTTAAATTTTTGCTATAATCTTATTACCAATTATTTTTAATTGTTAGATCAATCTGCAATCAATCAATACCTTCTTTGTCGATCATAATAAATTTGAGATATGTTATAAAATTTATAACATGTTATAAATTTATACAATTTAAACAACTTTTATCTTTATGTATTAGAGTTATTTGCAAAGAATAGAATTTTATTAAATTCTGTCTATGAATGTGTCCATAAAAACATATGCAATTACTATATTTATACATACATATAAATATATGAGAATATATAATATAACGGATGAATTTATCGAAAAACTATTTTTTTATAGATTTATAGATGAATAAATTTTTTAAAATTTTCTTTATAGCTGACTTATGTGAATTTGATATCATTATATTATAGCTTATATAGCTATATTATTTTTAAATTGTTTATATTTTATTTTTATATTTATTTTTTTTGAATTCGTAAAATATCCAAAATCATTATAGATATGTATATATTATAATAATATTTATTATAATAATAAGTATAATGATATTTGTTTATATATTTCTTTAATGATATTTATTATAAGTATTTCTTACCGGTTTATTCTTATATACATAAATAATGTTAATAAATGGTAATCGCATATCAATTTTACACATAATTAAACCGATGATTGGAATTTTAGAATTAATAAAACACTTTTAGTACTATTATGCTTATATATATGCATTTGTGAGAACATATAGTTATTTAAAATAATAAATTGTCTTATACATATCTCAAAGTCATTAAAATCGATAAATAGGGAGTTTTTTAATAGCAGGTTCACTTTTATTTATTTAATATTTCAATCCCTGAAATAAAAAAATACAGAATTTATTAATTCAAATAATAGATTTTCACATTGATGTTTTCAATTTTCCTTTTCACGGATAAATGTTATCATTAATACGTCACGACCTCTCGTCGACCTATAGTGCCTATTGTTAGAAAATGATTGCAAGTTAATATATATATATACAAAAGTATAAACATGTATATTAGATTTTCATATTAAAAATAATATAAACATTAGTACATAAATACAATACGAGTTAAATCTTCGTAACTCTCTTGTTAGAACGTACAATGTACGTTACTTTTAGAATTTAGCATTTAATGCTTAATGCTTGATAAATCTGTTTTTCGCGCATCGACTATAAGATATAACATTAAGGATCATGAAGAAACGAAGTCGATGAATAAATTAAATAAAAAAGTAAAAAAGCATAAAGCTAAAATATTTCAAAAATAATTTAATTCTGAAATGTGATCTTTGCAAAAAAGACACGCATTGTAAAGCTATGTATCATGTCAATTAAAGGCATAAATATATATGTTATTCATAATTAGCGTGTATACGCACGATACGTCTAGGCATAACGTACAATATTATACATATACCAAAAAATAAGAGACTGGACATACATGCGACTATCCCAAAACTAATGGATGGTAAAATTCCAAAAATTGTACAATCACATTCGGATGTCCTTCAGGAATCTGAAATTATTTAGATTATATAACTTTTCTGCGCATTTTTCTGCGTGTCTGCGTGCTGCGTGTGTGCCTGTGAACAAAATTCGATAAAAATAACACCTGCTCAAACTTACATATTTAAATACACCATCAGCATATGCACAAACATAATTATAAATTATTATTGCAACTATCAGCTTTTACTTTTTACGCTGAAACGTACGATTGATCATTCATCGTTCCAATTAATTTGACATTCTTATATTTTTTATAAAAAAGGAAAAATGTATCAGTGACAATATTGTTCACACAATAATGAAATTAGAAATGAATTTTCTTATTCGGGTGAAAAGAAAAAAGCGTATAATTTTGAAAAATCTTAAAGAATAATATTATATTAAAGATACCCATTAATACAGGGTTAATGACAATCGAGATCATGAAAAAAATTGCTTTTTTCTCTTCTTCCACGTTTTGAGTAATTTATTTTCAGAAAACTTAATATAACTATTTCAAGATAATTAATATTATTTATTCTTAATATTATTCTATTGTTAATGAATAATAATTTCAATTTATTACAAAATTGAAATTATCATATTATTAAAAGTTCATTATAGATGAAAGGATAAATTTCGTGTTCTAACATTCAATAGTGATAGAAATATGAAAAATATATAGAAAAAAGGAATAAAGGAATGGAGAAGTAAGCAAACAGACAGAGCAGAAAATACTGTATTAGTATTGAAATGATTTGTCAGAAACAAAAAAATTAAAATAAAGAACAGTAAAATGTTCCTTTAGGTCAAATTTGTAAATAGTACAATAATCTTCATTAGTTTGCAAATAT